AAGTAGTCTCCAGGCTGATCAAAGGAATACCTTAATTCATCAAACCCATCAATTATAAACAGAAGCTTCTCCACATTCTTCAGTATGTTCTGAATGACCTTTTTCACTGCATGACTGTTGGGACATTGTTTTGAAATTATCCCTGCAATACTACTCTTCTCTGAATCTGCATGGAGGTTCATCTCTCTACAGGAAATATAGAAAACATAATTAAATTTGTCCTTGTAAAGTTGTTGAGAAGCCCAGTCAAACATGATTTTTTTTGCCATTGTGGTTTTTCCAATTCCTGCAGCTCCTTGCAACACAACAACTTGTGGAGTTAGGCCATATTTATCAGGGCTAAATAATGTTTCAATGCTCATTGACGACTCGGCTCTCTTGCTGATGATTTCAGCATGTCTCCTTCCTGTTGCCATAATTTCATGTTCTCTCTCCTCTTCAGACCGGGGATAATCTAGGATGATTAGGTTTGAGTATCTCTGGTTTAGGGGCATGTATTCACCAGGAATAGAATTAGGATCTTCAATTCTTCGAAATTTTTTTTAACATGGCTTCTGTAATCTAAAGGAAGGATGAATCAATAAGGAAGTGTGAAAAATATGGCCTGCAGAAGCCACTCAATTAGGGAATTAGGGGTTTTGTCTCTGGATCTTCTCCTCGAAGCCACCTTCATCCACCCTCTGGGTTAATGTGTTGAGGGAAGTTGCAGAATACTCTGTTAATTAGTCTAAGTCAGAACTGAGGTCAATAGGGAAATATTTGTTACAAAATCTTTTGAAATGTGTGAAAGTTAGGCCCTGCCTTCATGCCTTCTTCCCTCCCTGCCTTTTTATGGTCAGCACTGCAAAAACCACCATCAAGCTTTCCCCATCAGGATTTTTGGGGTGATTAATATTTACAACAGCTTCTTGCATACTTGGGGAGGGGAGAGGGTAGGAGCTGATCATGCTGAATTAGTGATAATTCAGTGATCCTTTGAATGATTTCTGCCTTACCTGATGAATCTGGTGGTTGATGAGCATCAACATCTGCAACTGAAGATAGACTGGAATTAGTGAAACATAGATGATAAATATGGGTTAATTACTAAGCATTTTTTTAAACAGATAAATACATGGGTGTGTAATTTCCATGGATGTCTATATTTACTGTGCATATTAGATTTCTTATCTAATAGTTCATATGCATTTCTATAAACTTCTTTTCCTCTTTCCCCCTTTTCTTTTATAGGCAAGCTTGAATGGCCTACAGCTATGAAAATTACCAGGCTTAGCTAACTGTGCCCTTGCCCTCTCTCCCAGCTCTGGGTTGTAGAACTGGTCTTGGAAGAAGGAGGAGAACTCCCCTTAAACCATTCCCCACACTCCTAACACACTAAGCCATTCCAGAAGGTTACTGTGATCAATGGTATCAAAGGCCATCCAGAGATCAAGGAGGGCTAGGATGGATATACTATCCATGACCTGATCCTGTCAGAGGCCATCCAAAAATTCAGTCAAGACCACGTATGGCACTTTTATTTCCCAAGTTTCAATAAAATGCCAATAAGAAGACTTGAGATGAAACTCTG